TCAGCAGACCTATTGCTCTCCAAACTTGAGCCACCCATGCACACAAATGCAGGGATGAGTATCGTCTTCTGTAGCAGAAGAATAGAGGGGACTGGTCTACTATCAAAGGCACAAACAGGGGCTGAAGCAATGCACCTTCTCTGGAGATGTGGCAATGCAAACCCTCAAAGCAGGCCTCATCCAGCCTCATGCCCACTGCTGAGCTTGGCTCTCAGGGCGACTCCACATCCTGCCTCTGTCTTGGTGGGGACAGGGTAGGTGCACACACAGGTCTGAAAGCTGTTCCAGACTCAGCACTCACTCCCAGGGAGGCCACCCCAACCAGACCTGGGGCAGAACAACCATTACCTGTGACATAGGCTTGAAAGTCCAGCAGTGATGCAGCCCCAGCACCCACCGCTGTGAGGCCCTGCACAGTCACGGTGTATTTGCTTCCAGCAGTCTGAAGAACTGTGTACTCAGTGACCGACTGGTTCACCAACACCTGCTTGAACTCAAGGAAGCTCCCATCGTCTGCTCTCATGGCGGTGATGTTCAGCTAGAGGAAGGACAGTGAGCTGCTAGGGAGTAGCACCAACACCCTGCTCTTGCACTGGGCAGCTTAGCCTAGCCCCACCAGAAACACCAGCAGTGTACAGCCTGTGGGCTATGGCCAAGGAGGACTTGCACCCCTCCTCAAGCTACCTGCACAGTGCTCCAGGCAGGGAAATGCCTGGCAAAGTGAGAGGGACCACAGACACATCATGGTCCACTGGTACCTGGTATCCAATGATCTCCCCTTTGCAGGAGGGCAGCGCCTTCCACCTGTAGCCCCACCAGAAACACCAGCAGTGTACAGCCTGTGGGCTATGGCCAAGGAGGACTTGCACCCCTCCTCAAGCTACCTGCACAGTGCTCCAGGCAGGGAAATGCCTGGCAAAGTGAGAGGGACCACAGACACATCATGGTCCACTGGTACCTGGTATCCAATGATCTCCCCTTTGCAGGAGGGCAGCGCCTTCCACCTGAGGGTCCCTGTGCTGGAATCCATCCACAGCTTCTCCAGTTGATCTGGCACTGGAAGCACAGGAGGACAGGATCATGCATGGGTCTGGCAAGGATTTGTCCCCCACAGAGGCTGCGTGTGCCACTGCAGCAGCAGCGGTGTGATGAGGGAGAGGGAGAGGGAGGATGCATCCTGCCCTGCTGCAGGACCCTGCACAGACCCTTTCCCAGATCCTCACAGGCACCAAGCAGACCCAATCCCAGGAATACCACTGGAGGGAGATGCTCTGGTTGAGCTTTAGTGAGAAGGGCTTCTCTACATGTAAATGTACCTGTTTCCATTGTCCTGAGTTCCCGTGTGTACAGGTTTGTTCCAGGCAGCAGAGAGATGGTGACAGTGTAGAAAGTAAAGGGTTGCAGAGGGGCACAGGTGAAAGTTCCCTCCTGACCTTGTAGCATCTCCTCTCCCATCACCTCCTCAGCGTCACAGGAAGAGGAGGAATGAGAATGCAGCCGGCACATGGCCCGAATATTCTGGCAGGTGTCAGGGAGCCTGCAGGTCCAGTTCAGTTTGATGCTGTTGCTGGAAATCTCCAAGGTATCAGGGGCAACCTGGAGGACATCTTGAAGGGAACATTGCCAGAGGGTCACTCCTTTCCATTTCCCCTCCACACCTTGATGCCGACCTCCATCATCCCCACCATTCCCTCATTAGCTTGCCCCGAGCACAGAGTGGATAAGGACATCCTGCCTTCTCCCAGACTACATTCAGGCACTGCCTGGAGCTTCATCTGGCCCTGGGCATGGCCACTCCCCATGGGCACTCTGGGTGCTGCAGTGACTGTGGAAAGGTAAGAGCAAGCACTTCTGACCAGTCTGCAGCTGCCACCCTGGGGGTAGCCACTGATCTGGTGACTGGTCCCTTTCAGTCCAGCAATGATTTAGCCAACAAATTTAGCAGCCAGAACAGGGCACTGCCCTCCTGGTCCTGGGCTATCAAGCTCCATGCAGACCCCTCTGACTGGCCTGGACACATTGCTTGGTGCCTCACATGCAGCGGTGAGGACCTGTCCCCCAGAGCGTTGCGCAGGGTGCCTCAACTACCACAGCACAGACACAAAACTGGGATGCATCCATCAATTTTCTCTGGAGTCAATGCCCATGCTATGGCCTGACCACCCTGAGCACAGGGCACTGACACTGTGGCACACATGCAGCACGGCTCTCCACATCAGGGCGAACAGGCTGAGAGCACTGGGAGAGTGACTGACACTCACTTACCCACACAGGTCAAGTTCTCCTCCATATGGTGCCATACGCCTGTGCCATTCCTCACCATCCAGACACTGCGAGAAATTGTGGAACCTTCCTTTGGCTCCAGTTTCACACATTTGATTTCCATGAGTGGAGGGCTGTGCCCCACAGGGCATCTCATCGTCACCACTTCCTCTGGGTCGAAGATTCCCTGTTCTTGGTCAAAGATAAACTTGGGGTCCCACTGTGGCTTCTGGCACTTCTCTGCATCTACAAGATGGGGATGTGTTAGCAGGGCAGAGGGTGGGTCCTCAGAGCATGCCAGCGGATGGAGCAGAGCATCCCATTCCCTGGCGTGGCAAGGCAAGGCATGGAGCTCTGCAGAGAGCAGCCCTTCCACACCATTCTTGACAAGGGGATGAGGACAAGAAGGACTCCAAACTCATTTCACCACGCCCCCTGGGAAAGGCCAGGAGGAGCTGGAGTCAGGACTGGAGGTACCCACAAGGGATCCATACTATGCATAAACACCTCTCAAAGACTGATGGACCATTGCTTGACCCTGATGTCTTGTTTGTCCTTCAGGGAGGATGACAACACCCTGGATCCTCCGGAAAAGGCATAAAGCCTGAGCCTGAAAGCTGGCTCTGCTGAGATGGCACACTGCAGGGACTGGGAGGAGGAACCAGCACGTGAGGAGGGACCAGCCCTGCCTGCATGGGCTAAGGATGAAGGGTCTGGAGCATAAGTCTGATAAGGAGCAGCTGAAGGAGCTGGGAGTGTTTAGGCTGGAGAGAAGGCGGATCTTACCTGAAAGGAGGTTTCAGTGAGGTGGGGTTTGGTATCTTCTCCCAGGTAACGAGCAACAGAATAAGAGAAAATAGCTTCAAGTAGTGCCAGGGGAAATTTAGATTGGATATTAGGACAAATTTTTTCACCAAAAGGAACAGGCTTCCCAGGGAAGCAGCGGAGTCACCATCCCTGGGTGTATTTAAAAGATGTGTAGATGTGGCATCTGGAGACATGGTCTAGTGGTGGGCTTGGCAGTGCTGGGTTAACTGCTGGACTCAATGATCTTAAAGGTCTTTACTGACCTAAACAATTCTATGATGTTACGACACAGAGACTAGGGTCCTGTGATCCCCCAGACCCAGACACAATGCTTTTTGTCACCTGTGCCACAAACATCTATCAGACCTACAACACTGTAGCCCTGTCTTGTCTGCATGTGTCTTTGCCAGAAGCCTATGTCTCGCACGCACCTTCACTGGGCACCTCACAGCCAGCTGTGAACCACAGTCTGGAGCCCTGCATGCTGGGCTCCTTGCCCTAGCCTGGCTTGGGCAGCTCTGGCTACTGATCCCCACCTTGATCCCAAAACTCCTCCCCCACAGATTCCTCAGGAACTGAGGCTGGCACCAGCCCCCTCCCCACCAGGGATCCCCTAGAGCCCTGGGGCAGGCACAGGACAGGCTCAGGGGCTGCCTCGACACTCACCTGCCATTTCCCCAGGCAGCAGAGAGCCACAAAACTCCTGTGCTTTCACAGCTTGCCTTCCCAGCTCAGGAAGGGCACAGCAGGGCAGCCAGGAGAGGTCTTGATCCCTCCATTACCGAGGCACTGCACACCAAACATGGGCTGAATGTTGGTCCAACTGCCTCCGATGTCCCTTCCACTCCAAGCTTCTGTGTATACACGTTTCCCACTGCTAACGGACAGAACTTTTCCTGTACACTTGACATGGGTGAAAGATGCCTGGAAACCCTCAGGACAGATCAGCATCACTTCTTCATTCATCTTGTAATTCTTCTGATCTGGTACAAGCCGGAATCTTTGGCCCCACTGGGGTTTTTGGCATATTTCTGGCAAGGATGAAAGTGGATGTTAGTTTGGCTAGGAAGTTTCAAGGAGGATCAGGGCATGTGGTGAGTTATCAGCAATGCCCAGCGATCCCTCCACTCCCGGAAGGGAGATGGACAGTGACACATCCATCTGGTATGATGGGACCCCTCAGCAAGGCTGGTTGGGATGGGGGTCTCCTTGTGGGTGAATGTCAGCTGCACCTGGGGCCAGCCCAGGCAGGTCATGGATGGGCATGTGACAGAACTCAGTGTGGAAATGGTCTCAGGCATCAAAAGCAGTGAGATCCAAGTGGCCTATACAAAGCATCAGAATTGTATCCCTGGCCACAGTAGTGATGGTAAAAGCTCAGGGATGGATGAATGGGACAGGATTTGATCACAGAGCTCTGTAAGAAGCACCTCCTGACATCCTGCTTACCTTCACACTCTATTTTCTCCTTAATCGGCCTCCAGCCATCACTTTTTTTTCTCCCCAGCCACAAATTTTCATGTAGAGATCCAGAATAATTCAATTGCTGAACCCTCTCTGCACATTTGACATGGGTGAAGGGTGGCTGTAAACCATTGTTGCAGCTTAGAGTGATTTCTTCATTCTCCCTGTAACTCTTACGAGCTGGTTCCATCCGGAGCCTGGAGTCCCACGAAGCAGGCCTTTGGCATGTTTCTGTCAGAGGTAAAATTGTGTGAGAGTATTTCGGGAGGTGGCGAGAGGGGACTTGGAACAGTTCTCTTCTTCCCATGACTGACCACTCATGCTGACACACACACGAGTCCCTCTATTCCCACCATGTGCCCAGGCACAGTTCAGGGGCACAGGGCTTATCACCACCCTGTCTCTGGAACTCCCAAGCCTCCCTGGGGTTCCAACCATTCATGGGGTAATTAAGCCCACATTCTCGTGGCTCCTTCATGCCCAGGTGAGCCATGCAGCAGTGATAGTCTCCCTCACCAGAGAGAACCCAAACCCCAAGAAGCTTTCCAGGGAAGCAAGCAGTACAAACTGCCAAAGCCTCCAGCTGAACCCCTCCAGTTCTTCCTTCTCCTCCAGCTTCACAGCTGCAGCTCTCCATGTGGAGGCAAGTGGGACCCTTGTTCCTGCCTTTGATCTCCTTCCCAGGAGTACAGTCCCCAGCAGGAACCTGCAGCAAGGTGTTGAGACAAAAACCTAACTGCCAGCACACAGGGGAAGGCCAAGGCATCCAGGTCTCCCATTCCTGGACTGTCACCCAGGTGGACCTGAAGCATGACCATGTCATGGAAGGCCTGTTGCCAGCTCAGGACTGCGGGTCAGGGTGATGCAGGTCTGTGCTTACCCTTGCAGGTGGCAGTCCCATTCCACAGCATCTGAGTCCCACTGGAAATGCATCTGATCTGGGGGACTGATGGCACAGACTCCCCAGCACAGCTCAGTTGCACCAGCTCATTCAAGGCATAGCTTCTTTGGTTTGGGGTAAACTGCAGCT